AGATAGATAGATAGATAGATAGATAGATAGATAGATAGATAGATAGATAGATAGATAGATAGAGACAGACAGACAGACAGACAGACAGACAGGCAGACAGACAGACAGACAGACAGACAACAGACTCAAGAATTCAGCATCAGTGTTAACTATCTCTCAAAGTGGCCTGCAAAATTTGTAAACAAGTTAATAGCCATAGTATAATGAAACTTAGACCATGACTTTTATTGTGGGAGAGATGGGGATAAGCAGAGTTATGCAGGGTATCATTATTATTACTCTGCAAAACACATATTGGGTCTGAGTGGTGGGAAGGATTCAGATGTTCACCTCTGAGTTCATGTCCTGTACTGTCTAAAAATACGTATGCTTTCTACCTTTTAGGTAATTGGTGAGCAGCAACAGGAAATATCTAGATCTAGATCAAGGCCATCCTGACGTAGGCTTTCGGGTCCATATAGCAAGAGGAACAATCTGGTAGTCAATTATAAAGTTTTTCTAAAGTTCCCCAGAGTGACCAGATTGTGTTTTGTTTGTCAGTCATGCTATTGAGATAGCGTTTGCAAATTATGAATTATGGTTGAGTACAGGAGTTCATAAATGGACTCAGTTATCCTTTCCCCATTCTTGAATAATGTCATTTTCATTAGGAAAAAATATATATCAAGATTTGGTTGTTTTGCACATGCATCTCAGCAGCAGAAGTCCCAAATTGGATCCTTGATTCACAAACAAAATATTACAAATGCTCCTTTATACCTAGGATATGCCCAAATAACCACCTTGGGGAATTAATTATTTCCAGCTTACGAGGCTTGGTATGTTGTACACACTTAGTGCTGCCATGTCTGTCCTTGCTTGGGCTTCAATTACATGGGGTTGATTCATAAACTCTGCTTTGGCTCTTGACTTGACATGTTCATTAAGTTTAAAGCATACATTCAGTTTTATGAAAGTTTCTAAAAATTGTGCTGCTGTTGTTGTTGTTCCTTTTGGTTTTATAGCCAGCCACAAAGACAGAGAAGAGAAACACATGGAGCAACACACAAGCAAGGCAGGTATGCAACTAAAATTGTGATAAACTGAAAATTGAAATTCTTATAGGTTCTTTCCTTTCTTATCCCCACATATAAAAAAGAAACTAGTAGAATGGTTTTGCTATTTTAAATTCTGGATTGGACAGTTTGATTGGAGGGAATGAGATGGGTTTTTTTTAGGTGGCAATACTACGTGTGTTGTTTTATTAATTTCAAAACTTAGTAAATAATATTCCTGCAGCATCTGATGCGAGAGTTCCATTTCATTCTTCCTCTAAGACCTGGTCGGCCATTCTCAAACAAGAGAATGGGTCTGTGTCCTTCCAGATGTTGTTCCCCAACTCACATTAGTTGTTAATATTTGGAGGTTCCCAGTTTTCTAACCCCTTCATGGGATAATTTTGTTAGAATAAAAAAAATATGGATTGATTTCACAACTGTGCTAATTCAGGAGATGGAGAACTAACATATTGGGAAGCTCCTATGCCCGTGATGGCAAACCTATGGCACACATGCGTGCACCGGCCAGCTGACTTCGGCCTTCTTTTGAGGCCATTTTTCGCCCTTGAAAAATGGCACGAAAATGGCGCGAAAAACCAGCCCTACGGGCAAACCGGAAATTCAGGAAGAGACTTCCGGTTTGCTTGTAGGGCTGGTTTTAGCCTTCCGGAGCCTTCAGGTGTCACGCACTGGCCACACGCATGCCCAGTTTAGTAAAGGAAGGGGAGTTATCACATGATGCTGCCATGGCAACACAAGTTTGATACCCCTGTTCTAAGTACTTGGAGTGCCCTCAGATACTTAGCTTTTGTAGTACTTGGCTACTATACTCCCAGTTTTGTTGAGTTCATAAAACATTCAAATCTTTTTTTTTTTAACTACAGTTGGATTTTATATTATGCAATAGTTTTTTAATAGTTTCCCATAATCAAATTGTTGCAAAATTACTTAGAAAGTATTTATAAGTGCCACTGTAATGTTATTTGTTCCTGTATCTCGAGTGCTATTGTTTGGTATCTCATTTACCATGTTTTCATTTTTATCACTTACCCACATGTGGCTCCCACGTATTCAAGAATTATCTGATACACCCAGTCTTTTCAGTGAATTGAATTGAATTTATTATATTTCTATGCCGCCCTTTTCCCCAAAGGGGACTCAGGGCGGCTCACAATCCAAGTCAAGGGGGGGGGGTACAAATAAGGAATAAAAAAGACAAACAGAACAATACACAATTTAAAATCACACAACAACCATACCATTTGAGAGGGGACAAAAACTCAATTAGCCCCAGGCCTGTCGGAACAGCCAGGTTTTAAGGGCTTTGCGGAAGGCCTGGAGGGTGGTGAGGGTTCGAATCTCCACGGGGAGCTCGTTCCAGAGTGCCGGTGCAGCCACAGAGAGGGCCCTCATCCGGGTGGTCGCTAGT